TACTGCTGCCAAGGGTTTTCGCTCTCTGTTTCTGATTCGTAATAAAGAGTTGAAGTTCACTAAGTCACTGACTCGTCTCAATTACTTGCACCCATGCCCAGAATATAACACTGGCGACGAGGATGGAATGCAAGAGACAATAGAGCTGACTGAACACTAAAGAGCGCCAAACAGAGCACGTGGCTGAACACGCACCAACGACGGCAACATGGCCAGCGGTGTTATACCACCCGCTCCATTCGACCTGGCAAATGAAGACTGGGACTCATATATGGATCGGTTCCAAATGTTTTTGGAGACCAATAACCTAAAGGATGCGACAACCGGCAAGAAACGAGCAATATTCCTGACCCATTCCGGGCCGGCCATATTTAAAATGGCGAAATCACTCGCAAAACCGGCTGAAGTGAAATCTATGGACTGGGATGCCCTCGCTCCCCTCCTAAAGGCCCACTATGCACCCGCGGTGCCCACACTTGTTCGAAGACATGAATTTTACCAGAGGGACCAATGGAAAAGTGAAAGTCTCGCAGACTACATCGCTGACCTCCGGAATTTGGGAGGCCTCTGTGGGTTTGCCAACCTCGAAGAAGCTTTGCGAGACCGCATAGTTCTGGGATTAGATGACCACACGGTACAAAGCAAGATCATGGCAAAAGGGGACATCGATCTTGCCGATGCCATCGCAGACGCTACTGCAGCAGAAGCAACCAGGAAGTCGGCCGCTCGAATGCGCCGCAACAACGCACCGCTTCGCCAACTCGCTAATGACACCTCGCCTCGCCCTGAGAGGCACTCAACAACGGCGCATCACGACGACTTGGAATCCCCATCAGAAAGTGATGAGGAAGAGGTCAACCGACTCCGGTCCGAACGAGACCAACAAACCCAATGATTCCCGTGACAACGCGCGGGTTGTGGGGCAAACCACCCACGATCCAATTGCAAATTCCTCGACGCACTCTGCCATTCCTGTGGAAAAAGAGGCCACATTGCAAAGGTCTGCAGAAGCAAGCGAGGGTCCAGTCCCAAGCGCAGGGAGAATAACTGCAGCCAGTCTTCAGGATTCGAACCCGCGAATCGGAACCACCCGAACCACCAATGGAACAACCACTCCTACAGAAATAAAGCACCTGCCTCTTCCACGAGATGGGAAGAAGCACACCAAACCATTACCATCGGCCACGCTACATCCTTAGACGCAAGGAAGATCCGAGTGAAGGTCGCCATCGAGAACCAACCTTGCGTGATGGAAGTCGACTCGGGGTTGTCTCTCTCAATGGTTTCCTGGAAAACTTTCAAGCAACTAATCCCGGCCATCCATCGACAGGACCTCAGCCCCCAGAGGATCATACTCAAGGATTACCAGGGCAACAGAATTCCGGTCGTCGGTTCCAGCCAAGTCCAAGTCTCCTTCAAGAACCGTATCGCATCACTACCACTGACTGTCGTCGATCGTGATCGGCCTAGCTTATTAGGCCTACAATGGTTCGCCCCGCTCGGGATCATGGTAGCCGGCGTCCACCGAGCTGAGAGCAACGACTGGGAGGAGTCTCTTGTCCAAGAATTCCAGGACGTTTTCTCAGACGGACTAGGCAAGTACAAGGGGACCCCAATATCGTTTAACCTCAACCCTGAAGTAGCTCCCATCCGCCTTAAGCCTTGTCGGGTGCCTTTTGCACTAAAACCTAAGATCGACGAGCAACTCGATAAGTTAATAGCCCAGGGCGTTTTAGAACCAACCGACCACGCCCGTTGGGAAACCCCAATTGTAACACCCATTAAACCAGATGGATCGTTAAGAATTTGTGGGGATTATCAGGCCACTTTGAACCACGCACTTCAGCAAAGTGCTTACCCAGTACCGGTGGTTCAACACCTTCTCCACTCCCTGGGTGGTGGGAAGATATTCGCTAAATTGGATTTGGCACAAGCGTACCAACAGTTGCCCGTTGATGCGGAAACTGCGGAAGCACAAACTATCGTTACGCATAGAGGCGCTTTTAAATGCAATAGACTCCAATTCGGAGTGAGCGTAGCTCCGGGAATTTTTCAAAGTTTAATGGAGAGACTCTTACAAGGCATAAAATGGGTTGTACCATATTTTGATGATGTGTTAATCGCCGCCCCAAATAGAGACATATTAGAAAAGCGTCTCAGAATGGTTCTAAAGAAATTTAAAGACGCCGGCCTGAAAGTTAAAAAAAATAAATGTCAACTGTGTACCGAGAGGGTGGAGTTCCTGGGATACCTTCTCGATAGTCAAGGAATCCACCCCACTGATAACAAGCTAAAAGCGATTAAAAACGCACCAACACCCAAGAATAGAACAGACCTCCAAGCCTTTCTGGGGCTCATTAACTTCTACAACATTTTCTTGCCCCAGAAGGCGACTGTAGCGGAGCCCTTGCACAGACTTCTTGATAAAAAAGCTACCTGGGTCTGGGGACGTCGAGAGGAACGCACCTTCCAACAAGTGAAAGATTTGCTAACCTCCGACGCTGTTTTGATGCAGTACAACGAGACTTGACCCTTGACTGTTACGTGCGACGCTTCACCGTTTGGAGTGGGAGCAATCTTAAGCCATGTACTTCCAAACGGAAACGAAGCACCTATTGCGTTTTTCTCACGAACATTATCAAAGGCCGAAAGGAACTATAGCCAACTCGATAAGGAGGCCCTTGCTGTTGTGTCTGCTGTGAAGCGTTTTCATGAGTACGTCTATGGATGAGCATTTACGATAATTACAGACCACAAACCATTGCTTGGTATTATAGCAGGGGACAAGCCAACCCCCTATATATTATCGCCAAGAATGACTCGTTGGTCTGAGTTCCTAGCTGCCTACAATTACGTGTTGCAACATCGCCCAGGGAAAGCCATTCCCCACGCTGATGTGTTGAGTCGTTCTCCACTTCCGGAAACCGTCGACGACCCAGCTCCAACCCTCATGACGCTCCAAATTGAAACGCTGCACTCGCCGCCACTAACAGCGAGAGACATCGCGATTGAGACAAAACGGGATCCTGTCCTGGCACGGGTCCTCAGCTGGGTCAAACGAGGATGGCCAGTCGACCAAATCCACGACGATTTCACACCATTCAAAAATTGGCAGACAGAGCTTTTCTCCCAGAGAGGTTGCGTTCTCTGGGGGGATAGAGTAGTTGTCCCAGAGAGGCTACAACAGACTGTTTTAAAAGTATTACACGAGGGACATCCGGGCATCGTGCACATGAAGGCACTCGCACGAAGCTACGCGTGGTGGCCGGGCATTGATAAACAAATTGCAGCCTGGGTAACCACGTGCCAGAAGTGCCAAGACGTTAGCAACGCCCCACCTAAAGCGACGCCAACCGAGTGGGAAACCCCTCGGGGTCCGTGGTCCACGTTGATTTCGCGGGACCCACCAAGGGACACACGTTCTTATTAACAGTTGACGCTTATTCAAACTGGCTCGAAATCCAAAAGATGAAGGCAACCACAACAGAGGCAGTCATTAATAAACTGAATAAATTATTCGCAACGCATGGGTTACCAGACGTTTTAGTTTCTGATAACGGGCCCCAGTTCACGGCCCTAGCTTTTGAACAGTATCTAGCGGACCGGGGCATCCACCACGCGCTCACCTCGCCGGTGCACCCTGCGGCCAACGGAAGGGCGGAGCGAATGGTACAGTTCGTCAAGAAAACCCTACATAAAATGGACTATGGGGACATCGACGACAAGCTCAACCGAATACTCCTGCTCCAACACATCACCCCACACAGCATCACGAATAAGACGCCTGCCGAACTGCTAATGGGGCGGAGACTTCGCTCTCACCTCGACCGCCTCCATTCTTCGTATTCACCAGAAAAACCCTGTGGATCTAGCGGGAAGTGCCGCGAATTCAAGGTAGGCGACTTGGTGTTTGCTAAAAACTTTTCAGGCGACCCATTATGGGTCCCTGCAACTATTACCCAACCCACCGGCCCCAGATCCTACCGCCTACAGACTATTGACGGGAGACTTTGGAAACGCCATATAAATCAACTTCGATCCAGAATGGCACCCACCTCCCGTGACTTCCATACTTCACAAACTAAGGGAGGAGGAATTATCGAGGAGGCCGAAAACAGGCTAGATGACGACATAATCACGGGGACCCAGCAACCTAACCGAAGAAACGCGCAACCTGAAGAAGAATCAGGGAGAGGGGTGATATCTCCGCCCAGAAATAGTACGAGGGTAGCAAGCCCACGGGACCCGGAAGTAAGCCTAGGAGACTGGGATAACAACAACGAAAGCCGCGCCGAGTCCTCCCACGCAGAAACAGAACTAGCCGCACCAGAAACCCTCGATAGCGTTCCACCGGAACCGGACTGCAGACAAAAACTGGTGGAACTGCGAAAATCAAACAGGCAGGTGAAACGACCTGCATATCTACGCGAATATGTTACCGCACCCCTCAAATGGAACCTGGGGGGAGGGGTGTTATGAACTAACAAAAACCATTTAATAAAACTTATTAACATTATGTTAAGCAGGCTTGAAATCCTGCACTTTGGATTGGCCCTTAGATAGCGAGCTGGGATTGGTCCTCACGGAGCAACCTGATTGGCTATTAGTTTAACATCTTTCATTGGGCAAAAGTTAAGCATGTGGACACAGGTCATTGGTTAACAGGACAGTAGCTAGCTCTATAAAAGGGCTACTGCTGCCAAGGGTTTTCGCTCTCTGTTTCTGATTCTTAATAAAGAGTTGAAGTTCACTAAGTCACTGACTCGTCTCAATTACTTGCACCCATGCCCAGAATATAACAATGCGGGTTTCCTTTTGAAGTGGGGGGATATTTATTAATAATCTAGGTTGCCCAATCTAAAACAATTCAGGCTGACTTTACAACATTAAAAAAAATAACCATATATAAAATAATATATTGCCATGGGTCCCAGATTTTTCTGATACTTCTCCCCTTATATTTCCAGTGGATTACAATCATTTTTTTTCTTTTTCCATAGTTCATTTCTTCTGGATGTATGTCAGCTGCAAACAGTCAAAATCGTGACATGGTGAGAAAGTATATGGCAACTGAATTTCTTTTATGTAGTTTCTTCAACAGAACCCAAGACCCTTATACTGTTAGAATTAGAACCAGCCTTGGCCTCCCTTTTTGCAATAGGCTTCTCCCTAAGTTTCCCTTCAGGTTGATGTGCAATATGAAGTACTGCAGGGCCTGTCAGTAGTGCAGACATGTCAAACTTGAGGCCTGTGGGCCAGCTCCAGCCTGCAGACTCCAAGGGGGCATCTGCCACCACTTTGGCCCCATCCCATCTCAGCCAGGCGCTGGTGGTGGGCACAGTGCTCCTGCTGGGGCAAGAGATGGTGCTCATTAAAGGTCAGCTGCACCCAGCCAGTCTGGGTGCGCCACCAGTGCCTCCATTGCCTCCATGGCTTGCTTCCTGTGAGCAGTTCCCTTTCACCAGGATGGCCCCTGCCCCCATCTTGCCTTCCAACCCACCCCTGCGTGGGAAAGCTATGTCCACCTGCAGCACTGCCACCTTCTACCCCTCTCCTCCCCCCTTCCTGGTTGTGGAGGGAGGGAGGGAGGGAGGAAGGAAGGAAGGAGAAGCTATAATAGAGTCTTTGCCTCTTCTTCTTTTGAATCCATTTCAAAACAAAGCTGAAAAGGCCAGAAAGGCAACAAACTCTGGGTTTGTGTATTTTACAGATAGATTGAGACTTCCCAAGGATGAGATTCTCTAGAATAGAATAGGCTGCAAAGTGGTCTGGTAAGTGAAAATGTGTGGATATTAGACATAGTCCTTCTATTAAGCTTAGTTCTTTATATTCAAAGGCTACAAAAATCCCCTATTTCCTCAAGACTGAGATACAAAAGATGGCTGTGACTTCTGGTTATTTAATGAGAAGGGAAAAGCTAGTGCTGAAATGCACCGCAGAGTTGCTGGGCATGAGAGAACCAGCCCTCCCTTATTGATCATAAGGATGGTTCACATTCCTTCTCACTCCAAGGTTCAAATTCCTGCTCCTTCATAAAGCTTACTTATTGACCTGGTCCCACTGCTGTTTTTAGCATTTAGCTAATGGTAGGGAAACTCTCTACATTGGACTTTGGAAAAAAGATTAGGTGTTGGGCAATGAATCAAAATAGATATTCAGATTTAATTGCTGGTGAAGCCTTGATCCACCCACTTTTCAAAAACTCATTAAGGAGCTGCACTCCAGAACTAGGCAGCGGCTCCGTCTTAAACAAAACTGACTAGTAAACATCCTTTCCTGTTTTTTTCTTAAGCCTCATTGTATTCTTACTGAAAAGTGAATTACGATACATATCTAAATCTTGCGCTGGTTGTAAAGCTTCAGCAACTCTGGATAAAGTGCTATGGGTCATCTTTTTCCAGTAAAAGTGTAGCCTAGAGATAAAGGGGGCCTGACATCTTTATCGTAATGTGTAAGGTGCTGGACTAGAAGGCAGGTGTCTGTGAGTTCTAGTCCTCCCAGAGGCATGTACTTCTCTTCTCAGCCCAACCTACCTACCAAGGTTGCTGCTGTGGGAAATCAGTGGTAGGGGCCTGATGCATACCACTTTGAGCTGTATAAAACAAGGCAAAATATACATCTAATAATAACATGCAAACACCAAACTAGTACATATTCTTATTAGCCTAGCTCAGAGATGGTATTCAGCAGGTCCGGACCAGTTCTGGAGAACCAGTAGTGGAAGTTTTGAGTAATTCAGAGAACCAGCAAATACCACCTCTGACTGGAGATTTTACAATATCATTCCCCTGCCACGCTCATCAAACCACACCCACAGAACCGATAGTAAAAAATTTGTGAATCCCACCACTGGTCTAGCCACCTTTTTAACTTTTCTCCATAATGCAAGGCTTTTGACAGGAGTGTTCAGGGACTATGTAACAACTCACCACAGGATAATTCACTATGGGACTAGTTCCTTTCATTATTCATCATCAAAGCATTACAAAAGCTGATAGTTATGATTTCTTTTGATACAAGAGATCAAATAATTTTGATGAAAACATGGTCAAAGAAAATGAAAGGAATTACTTGAATCCCACAGAAAGTTGTCCCATGGCGAAGTAGCTATGATGAGTGAGCCATGGCAAGTTGGCCACGGTGAATTGGCCACTGCAATTTGGCTACAGCAAGTTGTCCTGTGATGTTCTGAGGTACTACAACTGTGTAACATCAAATCTGATTCTCTCTTTAAAAAAAATTCTTGCTACAAAGTGTGTGAAGTAGTTTTCTGAGAAAATCAGGCACTTTCATACTTATTCTTAAGTATGAAATTAAGAGCTGTGGTAGTGCAGTGGTTAGAATACACTACTGCAGACTACTTCTGCTGACTGCCAGCTGACTGCAATTTGGCAGTTTGAATCTCACCAGGCTCAAGGTTGATTCAGCCTTCCACCCTTCTGAGGTGGGTAAAATGAGGACCCAGATTGTTTGGGGCAATAGGCTGACTCTGTAAACCACTTGGAGAGAGCTGTAAAGCACTGTGAAGCAGTATATAATTCTAATAGCTATTGCTATTGCTATTCTTACTTGGAATGTCTCCTTTCAGCTCAGAAACTATAGAGCAGAGAGCTTTATCCCCAGAAATCAGTGGGAGATCACTTTTTGGTGAGCTAGCAGAGTTAGAGCGGGAAGGAAGAAGGAAGGAAGGAGGGAGGGAGGGAGGAAGGAAGGGTGGAAGGAAGGAAGGAAGGAAGGAAGGAAGGAAGGAAGGAAGGAAGGA